CGGGCCCCTTCTTGAGTGCCCAACCTGCTGCGCCCACAGTCTCCGCGATATATTTGGCTGTGCCTAACGTCAGCAGGGGCGCGTCATCCACGACGTTGCGGATGTGCAAGGAGGGAAACGCCGTGACCATCCCACGCAGTACTCTGTATCAGACTGCCCTCGCGAAGCTCGTGGTCAGGCTGCAGCCGGCGAGGGTCGCGCCCGTGACTGAAACATCTGAACGTGCGCCAACGCATTTTGAGTCCTAGCGGCCCCGAGGTGGAAGCCGCTCTTCTCGGCTTCATCAAACAGGATGCCTGGTGCCACAAGTTCGTAGAATTTATCAAGATCTGTACAAAGCGTGGAAAGCTCGAAACCTTTCAGTCGGGCGTATTCGTTGGGCATCGCGTGCTGCCAACCTGCTCGGCCACAATCCTTGTCTCTAGAACCCCAGGAGAAACGTGATCGGTGGTCCATTTCCCAGGCGCGCGCCACCCCCTGTTTCACCCTACCCCAGACACGGAAGAGGGGTGGGATAAGAGCAAGTGGGCGCAGTCCAGCACCCTGGCCTACCTTGGAAGACCATCGCCGCGGGGAACTTCAGGGGCAACTTGCTGGGGCCCCTCTCCCACGCCATCATGACACCGATGGGGCGATCGATATACACCCCAGGCATGCCTAACCATGAGCGTGGGTTCCAGCTACCCGCCCCGAGGCCGCTCTCGTGCTTGAACAAGCCCATCTGGCAATTTGAAGTGAAGGTCTCGGGAGCTCCGTCGTGGCCCGTGCTTTGGCGACCTGGGCCTCGGTGAGGCCCGGGCGGTGGTGCAGCCAATGTCTGTTCCACTCGTCGAGCAGCGCCTCGGCAGCAGGGCCCCCCTGGAGCTCCCAGCCCTCCCTGGCCAGCGGTCCTACGGCGATATTCCTGTCCCTGGAGAAGGCGCGGGCATTCTTGTCCCCCTTAGTTGTCGTCTCCTCAGCCCACTCCTTCCAACTGGGCCAGCGAGCGCGCGAAGCCTTGACAGCTAGGCGCTCGTGGGTGTGGGTGGGTGGGGTGGTGTGTGTGTGTGTGTGTGTGTGTGTGTGTGTGTGTGTGTGTGTGTGTGTGTGTGTGTGTGTGTGTGTGTGTGTGCGTGTGTGTGCGTGTGTGCGTGTGTGCGTGTGTGCGCGCGTGTGGCGACATTGCGACCGTCGGTGGCAACGCTAGCCTCGGTCGTGTCAGCGACCGAGGGGGGAATCGCAAGAAACTGAGGCTGCAGCAGAGGCCCGTCTAACAAAAGTAGTCCTCCTCGAACTCCAATCCAAAGAGGTGAGCCAACACCGCAATCAGTGCAACGGTACGCCTTGCTCGGCAGTGCCACAAGGAAGCATCATATACGCGGTTGCGAAGTACAACTAGTGGGCCATTTCAACTTCAAAAATGCACCCGGCGTCAAAGTGCGCCTGCTAAACCCAGCGGTGCTCCCAACGTGCCTATCGCGGTCATCCCCATATAGGTCGAATGCCCTGCGACGCTCGAGCTGCGTGTTGCCCGCCCATTGGTCTGAAGACTCCCCGAAAACTGACTCGTCGATCTTGCCTGCGTCCCAGGGCCGTATTCTGTGTTCGGGCGCTCCAAGGCATCCAGCGGGCATCTTGGTTGGGAACCTCATCCAAGTGCATCTCAAGCGGATGGGGTGGGCAACGAGGCCCCCCATCAACCCGGGCTCCACGGGGGGGCGAGGCGGAATCGGTCCATCGAGCAGCGCGCTGATCTTGTCGACGCATGACGACGAGCCCTGCGACAAGATGAAACAATCCAAATTAGAGCCTGATCATGGTGAGCATGTGGCCTGGTCAGTAGCCGCCGCCGCAACTCCAGCGCGGGGGCGCCAGCCCCTGAGTCCGTTGCACTTCGGGTCCACGTTGGCCCAATAGCCATGGGACTGTTAAGTTTTCCAAGTATCGGCCCAGCGAGGCCATCGTGCCAGCGCTGGCCCCTGTGACCCCAATGCTGCGGTGGAAATAGATCGACATCCAGAGCAGGCCCCAGGGAACAACAGCTTGAACGTGACGCGCCAAGACTCTGCCAGAGGCCTCAGGTAGCTTGCTGATCTCCTGGGCCTGGATCGTGAGCTGGTTGGTGTGCCGGGGCCTCCTGCCCGGGCGCCTGCAGAGTTGGCCAGCGCGCGGCCTCCAGTCTGAACAGCTGGGCAGAAATCAGCTGAACTACCCCTGGTCCTCCGAGCCCCAGCGTGCTTGGCGATGACGTCAGGGTCCGCAACGCGGGTCTCTCGACCAGCAAAAAATGGGGGCTTGGGCCCATCGAGGCCTTTATCCATTCTCCGGGCCAGGAGTTCCAACAGTTTGTATTGCAAGAGAAGAACCCCCATCTTGGAAGCTGTATCCCTCTTGGTCTTGGAGCGTGATCTAGGCGCAGCCGACGGCGCTGCCCTAGAAACAGGAGTAAGCGTAGACGCTGGAGCTGGCGGGGCCGCCCTCCTGCAATCGGGCTTCGACGCGTGCTTGAAGCGAGCGGCTGACTGGGCTCCGACGTGGTCTGCGCAGCCCTGCCGTCGCGTGCTGGGCCCGCGGGTGCGCCGCCGGAAGCCTGAACCCGAAGGCGATCACGGCCGCCTTCCCTATCCACGGGCCGATGTGCTCCATCAGGTGGGGCGCTGCGAGGCTCCTCCAGCGATTCCCCACAATGGGGGGCTTCCCACGGATTCAAGGGTTCATGCGCGCCCAAGTCTCGTGGGTGCCGCTGCCGCTGTGGGGTCTCCACTATCTCAGGAGCCAAGAGTGCGGGCCCTGTCGCCAAGGGAGCCCCAGTCCGCCTGGTAGCCGATATTCTCGAACTGGAGGTGCCATCGAGATTCGCATGCATATGCTGGGGGTTGCACCTCTCGTCCGGGAACTGCAATTCAGGGCGTGGCGCAGGGATCGGACATCCAACATCAGGCCATTCACAGTCGACAAACCCACAGCCAGCCTTCAGGCACCGCCGTGTACCCTCATCAGAAGTCGAGGCTGGCCTGCCCCTCGCGTCGTCTACCCCTTGGGTGCACCTGGGGGCAGGCCTCAGCACGCGTTATGCGACTGAGCCCAGCCCCTCTCGCTGTTTACCTCGTGGGTGCACCTGGGGGCTGGGACTTGCGTTCTCGTTGGTGAGGCTACCCCCGCTTCTGACGTCTGGCAGCTGCTGCCTGGATCTGAGACTGAACTTCTTCCTGGCTTCTTGAAGAGCTGCTCTTGCTGCCACGTCTGCTTCGCCTTCAGCTTGAACTGCTTTCTCTTTTGCTGCGCGAACCTGGTCGGCGGCGTCTTCAAACAACTGTTCGTCTGATTCGTCGACTTCCATGTCCACAGTATCTGACGGCACAGCAGGAGGGGGAGACGCACTATTGTGGGCCGCCGCCGCTTGGGCCTCCAACGTGCTGAAGAGCGCCTGCAGGAGGTTGCTTGCCTGCTCGTCGCCCTTCCGAGAGCGAAACCATGCCTTGAACTCGTCGGATGTCGCACCCATCTGCTGCTTTTCCATCATGAGAACAGGTCCGTCGGTGCAGGCCACCGACTTGGCGAAGCTCTCTTTGGCTTCCTGCTCGAGGACTGCGACCTGGCGCTTCGCCTCCTCCACAGCCTGCTGAGCATTGGCGAGCCGCGTCTCGAGAAGCTTGTGTGCCTCCTCAACTTCCTGCTTGACTGCCTCGAGCTTGGTCTCCAGAGTAGTAGCGCACTCACGCGCCCTCTTCCACCCTTGATGCAATACTGTGCTGCTGGATGTGGAGGGGCTTGGCATCGTCGATAATATTCTGGAGCTTGGCCACCTGCTCCTCTGCCAACGACTTGTCCTCCTGGTGTGTGGCCACCCTCGCGGCCTTCTGCCAGCAGGCCAATCGCTCCTTGGTGTCTTTTTGCTCGCTGCTGGTCGTGGCTGCGGACTCCCTCTCCGTCCTCCATGGCGGCGGGGAAGATGGGGCAGAGGCGGGCTTCTCGAGCCCACCGAGGCGACTGAGAATCTTCTTGAGCGTGGAGTCCAATGCAGGCGGCGCGCCCGTACTCCACTTCCCCTTGGGCGCTTTGCCTCCGCTAGCACCTGACGAGATGATCTTCTCACGTGCTGCTTTGGCCACCTTCTGTGCTGACTGAGGGGCCGCCGATCCGCGCGCACATTTGACACGCGATGTCCCGTTACCTGAGTGGTGGCATGTAGAGTGCATGCCCACAGCGGCTTCTTTGGGCCCAAGAGAACATCCTTCGAACTTATGGGCGGGTAGAATGAAACGAATTTGCTCCCACAGGAGCTCACACAAGCGCACAGTGGGCGAGGCAGTGGTGCCTTCCTACCCACAAAGCGAAGGCTGTCCTGGCCAGCTGCCTTGACGAGATGGCAACTTGAGCCAAAATGGCTTGAGCCAAAATGGCTACGGACCTCCTCCTCCTCCCTCCCTCCCTTCCTCCCTCCTACACCCCTGAGCGCACCAGTCTGCCGTCGACTGGAACCGCCCTCGAAACCGCCACTCACCCTCGCCAGCATCCCTCCCTCCCTCCTTCCCCTTCCGCCTCCTCCCTTCTCCGCCCCCCCCGCCCCCCAACCTCCTCCTCGTCATCCTCGTCGTCGTCCTCCTCCTCCTCCTCCTCCGCCTCCCTCCCTCCCTCCCTCCCTCCCTCCTACACCCTTGAGCACACCCGTCTGCCGTCGGCCGGATCCGCCCTCGAACCCGCCCCTCACCCTCGCCAGCATGCGCCGCCGCTCTGCCCTCCCTCCCTCCCTCCTCCTTCCGCCCGTTCCGCCCCATCCCCCTCCTCCACCTCCTCCTCCTCCTCCTCCTCCTCCGTCTCCTCCTCCTCCTCCTCCTCCTCTTCCTCCTCCTCCTCCTCCTTCGCCCTCTCCCCCGTCTCATCCTCCTCCTTCTCCTCCTCCTCCTCCTCCTCTTAGCCCCGCGCTCCTAGCCCCGCGCTCCCCCCCCTCCCCCGCGCGAGGGGCCCCGGGGAGCGTCGGTCACCCGCGCCGGGCGCGGGGGGCCCGCTCCGCCGGCGGCCTGGTTCGGCACCTCCCGGAGCAGGTTGAACGTCAGGCCCGAGAAGAGGCCGCCGACCCCTCGGCGCGGGCGGCGGCCACGGCGTGGAGGAGCAGGGCGAGGACGAGGAGGAGGACGAGAAGGACGAGACGGAGGAGAGGGATAAGGAGGAGGAGGAGGAGGAGGAGGACGAGGAGGAGGAGGAGGACGACGAGGAGGAGGAGGAGGACGACGGCGGCGGCGGCGACGACCCGTCGTGGTCTTCGTGGCAGCAGACGCCGACGACGGCCCGTCGTCGTCGTTGCGCCATCGTCATCATCGACGTTGCGCTCGTGGTTGTCGCCATTGTAGTCGTCGTGGGTCGTTGGTCGTCCCTGGTCCCCTTCCCTTCTCCCTCTCCCTCCTCCTCCTCCTTCTCCTCCTGATCTCTCCGCCATCATTGATAGGGGAGGGAGCGCGGGAGATGGATGGGGGTTTGGAGGATCGACGATTGATTTCGTGACGTTTCTCACCTTTTTCGGCCCCCCTGGACATTTTGGATGAGGAGGGGGACGGTGAGGAGGGGATGCGAGTTGAGAAAGGAGGGGATGAGATTGTGGTGATAGTGATAGTGATGGTGATGGTGATGGTGATGGTGAGGGTGAGGGTGAGGGTGAGTGTGATGATGATGATGATGATGATGATGATGATGATGATGATGATGATGATGATGATGATGATGATGATGATGATGATGATGATGATGATGATGAGGCCAGGGCCGAGACAAGAAGAGATTGGGCAACCAATGTCCCACCAGCACCGCTGCCCCGAACCTACCCCTCGGAGGAGGACCAACGGAGATAACGGCGGCTTCCCCGCCTGGCCCAGATCCGCTCAGAATCGGTCCCTGGACCCCCTCTCAGCCTAGGGCCAATTTTTCGTCCTGAATCGTTGTTTGACGCTCCGGAGGCCCGGCGAGGGCCCCCAGAGGCCGAAAACGGCCAACAACCGCCAGCTCCAATTTTTTTTGAACGTCGGATCTCTGGGAGGGTCCCTCCTGACCCGTTTTCCCAAGTGGATCTGGCCGTGGCGAGGATAATCCTCCAGGAGGCCCACGACGAGAAGGAAGGTTCCAGGGAAGTTGCTGTCTCGACGGGCCCTCCTCCGAACCCCTGCACACTCCGCCCTCCTCCCCCTTCAGTGCTGGAGGGCCAGGGTCATGTGCCAGCAGGGAAGGGGAGGAGGAGGAGGAGGAGGAGGAGGAGGAGGAGGAGGAGGAGGAGGAGGAGGAGGAGGAGGAGGAGGAGGAGGAGGAGGAGGAGGAGGAGGAGGAGGGGAGGAGGAGGAGCAGGAGGGGGAGGGGAGGGAAGGAGGAGGAGGAGGAGGAGGAGGAGGAGGAGGAGGAGGAGAGGAGGAGGAGGAGCAGGAGGAGGAGGAGGAGGAGCAGGAGGAGGAGGAGGAGGAGGAGGAGGAGGAGGAGGAGGAGGAGGAGGAGGAGGAGGAGGAGGAGGAGGAGGAGGAGGAGGAGGAGGAGGAGGAGGACGGAGGAGGAGCAGGAGGGGAGGGAGAGGAGCAGGAGGAGGAGGAGGAGGAGGAGGAGGAGGAGGAGGAAGGAGGAGGAGGAGGAGGAGGAGCAGGGGAGGAGGAGGAGGAGGAGGAGGAGGAGGAGGAGGAGGAGGAGGAGGAGAGGAGGAGGAGGAGAGGAGGAGGAGGAGGGAGGAGGAGGAGGAGGAGAGGAGGAGCGCTAGTACCATACGAGGAGGAGAAGGAGGAGGAGAAGGAGGAGGAGGAGGAGGAGGAGGAGGAGGAGGAGGAGGAGGAGGAGGGAGCGCCAGTACCATACGAAGAAGAGTAGATGAGGAAGATACATCGGGAATCTCTGCGTCCGACGCCGTGGCAGCAAACAAAGTGAGCCGCGACGCCGTCAGAGAACCGCAATTGGCACCGCATGCGAAGAACTCTATGCTGTGAGGGCGTCTCCCCCCCGTTGCCTGAAGACGGAGGCAAGGTGAGGAGCTAATACAGCCGACCATAAGATCAAGATAACTATCGTTTAAAAGATCTGGGCCAGCTTCCCAGACATTTCGTGAAACAACCCTGCGCGAATTTCTGTTGTTGACGCTGGAGGGGCGAACGTGCTCAAGAACCTGGGCCAACTTTCTGGCAAGAACGCTGTCCTAACTTTTCGGGAGGCTAGTTCTTAATCATACCCTCGACTGTCATCGGATGAGCATACACCGGGGATCTCTGAGAGCCCGTGGATCTGCAAAATGCAAAATGCATCGGGCGCCGCGGCAATCCCACAGCGTCCCGGAACGCTGTGAGAGCGTTCCGAGACGCGCTGATACGATTTGTACTCATCCTGGGCCTGCCTGGTGCCTCCCTTTGCGACCGCCCTCATTCCTTTCCTGCTGCCACGGCTGCGCAATCAGCTGGTCTGCGTCCGGTTTTGGTGCGACCGCGTCTCGCCCCCGCCATTGTCGCTGCGATGTAAAAGAAAGGAGAGGGTCGCAACTGGATCACTCGAGCCCCATCTCCATGCCACATCTCCCGAGCCGATCGAACTGTGAGGGCCCGCGTCGTGCTTGTCTCACGACACCCATGTGTCTGGGGGAGCAGAAGGCCTAGACATCCGGCGCTTCGATTGTTTCGACGCGTGGAGCCCATCTTGCCCCCCTCCTTATGGGTGCTTTGTCATCCCGAATCTCGTCTTGACGGCCCTGAGGCCGGAAACTATAGCCTCCCGAAGCCTGACAAGACGACGAACCGGCCGATTGGACTTTGTCGAGGCGCCGGACGTCTGGGAGAGGGCCACGGATGGGCAACGGCGCAGAAGGATCCGTGCAGGCGGGGCCACTGGACATCGACCAGGAGGACGGCGCGGGCGCGGCTGGCGGCGCGGGCCGCGCTGTGGCGCACCGGGCGGCCAGCCGTCCCGAGTGAAGTGGCCGCCCGACAGCTCTTCGTTAAGGGCTACGGCAGGCCACCAGCAAGCCCTTTCGGGCATCCGCTGTGGGCCGTTGCGATGCGAACGAGGCTCGGCCACGAACGCAGTCCAGGCCGCTCCCGAATCGAGCAGAAGTCCGAAAGCTGAGCAATCACAAGCTTCTGGAGGTCTGCGCGGATTTCTCGGGTCGGTTCTGCATCCCTCCCCCCAGGCGCCACGAGGGGGGTGTCACGCCGACCCCAGAGATCTGCGAGAACCTACCAGTGTTCGTGCGGTTTGCACAGGTTGTATTTTTGCTTCCCTTCGAGAGATGGTGGAGGAGGGAGCGGCTGCGAATGGGGGGGGAGCCTAAAGGGCGGGTGCTAATCGGGCGGGTGCTGACGGGCGGCCGTGCCAAAAGGGGCCCCAGAGTGCCCCTTTAGGGCCGTTTCTTTACCTCCCATTTGGGTCTCCCTCCGTGAGCACCCGCCCGAAAGGCGGGGGAGGAGCGAGAGATCCGGTGGCGGGCGGCAAGCGGGGCGGCCCGCGGGCGCGGTGCCTGAGCTCGGCAGCAACGGCAGCCCCGCTTGTATCCGGGACTGCGCGCGGCGAGAGCGCGGGGGGTCTGTGGCACAGGCCCAGGTCCCCTGCTACTCCTCGTCCTCCTCCTCCACCTCCTCCTCCCCCTCCTCCTCCTCCTCCTCCTCCTCCTCCTCCTCTTTCTCCTCCTCCTCTCTCCTCCTCTTCTCCTCTTCTTCCTTCTCGTCCTCGTCCTCGTCCTCGTCGTCATCCTCCTCCCCCTCCCCCTCGTCCCACTGCACTTCCGCTTCCTCCTCCATTCCTATTCATCCTTTAATTCTAAATAACTCCTCCCTGTCGCACCCCGAGAAATGCCAATAGGGCGGTCCGGGTGTTTCCCCTAAGACTTACTCACACATTGTGATCCTGAAGCCGAGGCTTCACTACAATTCCACGGATGGAGGGCGGGCCGTTTTCAAAATGTGGCTCTCGCCGTAGCGCCGCGCGCATTCGTCTTAAACGTTTGCAAGAGATTGCCGGATGGAGGGCGGTACCTCTTCAACATGTGGCTCTTACCTTAGCGCCGCGCATAGTCGTCTCACGAGTTTACAGCAGTTTCAAATAATATAGTGACTGACGTCCCAGGCATGATGTTTTGGCACGATGTAGGACTGTCAGGGCGCAACAGTTACGCCGATTCGCGGTGTTGAAGTACCAGGACTGGTGTTCTGGCGCGGATTAGAATCGTCAGGGCGCAGCAAAAACGTCGATTTGCGGCGTTGAAGTCCCAGGCATGGTGTTCTGGCACGGTTCACGGTTTCCAGACGGTTGTCTTCAAACATCGTTGATGGGACTGGGGTTTACACTGGTCCTCCTCCTCCTCCTCCTCCTCCTCCTCCTCCTCCCTCTCCTCCTCCTCCTCCTCCTCCTCCTCCTCCTCCTCCTCCTCCTGCTCCTCGTCCTCGTCCTCGTCCTCGTCCTCGTCCTCCTCCTCCTCCTCCTCCTCCTCCTCCTCCTCCTCCTCCTCCTCCTCCTCCTCCTCCCCCTCTCCCACCCTCGGCCGCCCAAAGCCTCCGAAGGCCCGGGGGAAGCGGCCGATCGCCTCCGACGGCATGCTGGGGCCCGCGCTCCGTGGGGGCGCTGCGGCGGCCTGGCGCTGCTGAGTCGCTGGGCCGGCTGGGCCGACCCCCTCCGTGGCAGAGGCGGCCCTGGTCGAAGGCATCCTCCGAGTAGATGGGATCGGAAGATCGCGCCGCATCGCCGATGCATCGGCGATGCAACGTCGACATCGGCGATGCATCGGCGACGTCGGCGTGGGGAACATCGGGCTCCGCATCGAGCCGCATCGGTGATGCATAGGCGATGCGGCGCAATCCTTCGACCCCATCTACTTGGACCCCATCTGGGAAGCCTTGAGCCCTGGCCGAAGGCATCCTCAGGATGTTCCGGGAGGCCTCCGCGGCCTCCCAGCTCGAGGTCCAAGACCTCGAGGATCGGGTTCTTTGGGACGTTCTTCGCTCTTCGTGAGGTTCCAGGAGCACTCTCGTTGTTATGGCTGCACCCCCCCTCGAGATTCTGGCCAGAATCCTCCCTGGACAAGTCTGGGGATTGATTTCTGACTCCAGGAACCCAAACCGCTTCGTGTCGTGAAAAATCAGAACGGGCATCTGTTTGCTGAGATTGGCTCGGGCGGCCCCTGACTGGGACATGCAATCGTCAACAAAAGCGACTCAGGATGAGAAAGTGGTCCCGGTCGACACTTCCAGGGGTCCACCTTGTGGAAAAATCACGACGCCGAGGCTTGGGAGCCCCCAGGGGTATGCAGACCGGCAGGCCAGGGACACCTTTGGGCTAGGGACTCCTTTGGCAACCCTCGAGGGGAGGTGTCGACCCTGTCTTTCGCATGGACGCCGCGCCGTTGTCTGTGCCCTGTGGGTCTTGGGTCCGAAACGGGCCCTCGGGTGTTCGAGCTTGAACGCCCGCCTGTAATACGTAAGTAAGCCCGACGGGTGCCATCACGCGACACGAAGCCCTCCGATCATCTTGTCTCCGCTGCAGCACAGGGGACGCGGAGGGGCCGAGGAGGTGGCGAGGCGTGGCAGGCAGCTGTGCGGGACGGAGGTCGGTCATCTGAGCCCGCAGCCCAGCCCCTCGACGCTGTGCTCCTCTTCTCGCGACGTGGGCACAGGAGCTCTCGACCGTATCCCTCGGGACAACTTTTGCGCGTCTGCCGCTCTCTGGGGCCCGTACGGGCCAGGTCAACGGCTTGCCGAGGCCAAAACCGCGACGCGACGCCTCTCCACCGTTCTTTTTGTTCTCTCTCTCTCTCTCTCTCTTTCCCTCGAGGACGAGGAGGAGGCGGAGGAGGAGGAGGAGGAGGAGGATGACGAGGGGGAGGAGGAGGCGGAGGAGGAGGATGAGGAGGAGGACCAGGGGTAGACGTGGCGCCGAGAGGTGGAGGGAGGGGAGGTCGTCTGAGCACGAGGCGCTCCGTCCTTTCCCCACGCCTCGGGGGCGCACCGACCGGGGCCCGCCAGGGCCACGCCCCGAGCCAGGACCTGGCCCCGAGGCAGCTCCCACGCCTGGGTCCGCGGGGGGAGGGGAGGGCGGAGCGGCACCGCATGGCTGTGTAGAAGCCTCCTAGATGGGGTCGGAGTAGACGGGGTCGGGCCTGTCCCGACTGTAGAGGGACAGGCCCGACTTCAGAGTAGATGGGGTCGGAGGATTGCGCCGAATCGCCGATACATCGGCGGTGCATCGGCGATGCACCGGTGATGCATCGTCGACATCGGCGATGCGTCGGCGATGTCGACGTGATGCAAATCGGGCTCCACATCGAGCCGCATCGGCGATGCATCGGCGATGCGGCTCGATCCTCCGACCCCATCTAAGCATCTAGGAGGCCTAGAGCATGGCTATCGGAGGGGACTTGGCCGACCCCCGTTGGTGCCGACTCCCGATGCGTGCTTCCCGACACAGGCGTTGTTCCACGGGCGGGCAGCAGACTGTGGGGGGCGACAGAAGGCGCACCTTTCGTGCACCATCGGGGTCCTGGGGGTGGGGGGGTCCTTCAGGGCCTCTATTCGCGCAGCCGTTGAACCCCCCCTCTCTCTCCATAAATAGTCCGCCCATTACTCGAGTAGGAACAAAAACGCATCAACATTTATCGGAGGTCCGCGGTGACTTCTTGTATCGGCGCTGGACCCCTCTCCCCGGCGCGCGGAGCGCGCCAGGGGCGGCGCCGCCAGGGGGACCCAACGCCGATCCAAGAACTCCGCGCGTGCCGCTTCTCGCTTTTCGAGCTGCGAGGCGCCCAAGATGCGCCGCGCAGGGCCGAGGAGGAGGAGGAGGAGGAGGAGGAGGAGGGAGGAAGAGGAGGAGGAGGAGGAGGAGGGAGGGAGGGAGGAGGAGGAGGAGGAGGAGGAGGAGGAGGAGGAGGACAAGGTCGCGGAGGAGGTCGCGGAGGAGGACAAGGAAGACGAGGAGAAGGAGCAAGAGGAGGTCCGACCGCGTCCGCGTCTTCCTCGTCCTCCAGCTCCCCCCCTCCACCGCGGGTCGCGGCGCAGCCGCTCGTGAGCATCGCGCGGGGGGCGCGCGCGCGGAGCCCAGCGCCCGGGCGCCCCCAGAGAGGGCAGGCCCCGTGGCAGCGCGGGGGGGGGGAGGGCGCGGCGCCAGGGGGCCCCCCCCCCCCCCCCGCGTCGAGGCCCAGCGCGCCGCAGCCAGGCCCTCCGCCCTCGGGGGCCCTCGAGCTCGTTCTCCTGCTGGGCAGACGAGGCGACGGCCCCGCCCTCGAGGTCTGCGAGGCCACTCTTCGGCGAACGGGGGCAGCTCCGTCTCCCCGAGGTCCACGAGCTTGCCATCTCCGAGCTGCCGCGCGAGGCCGCCCACCACGAGAGCCCACCCACGCCGCAGGAATCGTCCTCACCCCTGGGCGACCACCTGGCGGCGCGGGCCCCAGGTCCTCGAGCTGCGCCTCCGCGGAGCACTCCTGCCGCGCCTCCGCACCACGACAACGGCCCGTCCCCCTGCCGCGGGAGACCGCCAGCGCGCGGCTGCGCTGCTCTGGGGATCGCCGCCGCACCGAGCACCCGCCCGCCCGCTCACCAGCTCCGTGGCGCGCAGCGTCTGGGGTGCTGCGTCGGGTCCACGCCGGAGCGCGCGGCGAGGCGCCGCGCACGGTGCCGTGGCAGCTCCGCTCCCGGGGCCGGGAGGGAGGACTCCTGCCAGCGGTGCTCGCCGCCTGCCTGCCCGCCTGTACCAAGTACCCGCGCCACCACGGCCCGCGTGACGCGCGCGTCCCCCAGCTGCTCGTCGTCGCCCGCGTGCCGCGAGCCGCCGCGCAGGCGCAGGGTGCTCCTGACGGGCGGCCGTGTCGGGCATGCTTTCCCCCTTCGGTGGCAACTCATGGGAGCCTCCCATGCCATCTTGTCCGCTCTTGCGAATCGACGCCGGTCGACGCTAAATCGACGCTAACCGACGCTACATCGACGCTAATCGACGCTATGAGTCGACGCTGAATCGGCGCTGTCTCATCGACTCCCAGACGCGAATCGAGGCTAGCCGACGCTGAAGGCGGAATTCAAAGGGTATACGAAGCTCCCATGATTTGCCGCCGAACGCCAGGACGCACAACGGCACCGTGCAAGCGTCGTCCCAGGATTCTGCACGGGAGCGAGCCCCCCCCCTCCCCCTGGAATCTGCACGGGAGCGGGAGCCCCTGGATTCTGCACGGGAGCGGCCCCGTGCAAGCGTCTCGTCCAGCTTCTGCGCGGTGGCTGTTGATGGGAAGAGGGTGCTCGCCACAAACCGGGCCAATTTTGCCTTGAGGCCGACAACGAAAAACTGCTTCCCAAAACGAGTTGGGATTACCGTCAGCCATCGCTCCCATTCGCTCCGTCCTCATGTTGTGGCCTCTCGAAAGATTCGGGCCACCACCTGCTACGATTGGAGAGCAAAACTGCGTTATCGCTCCGACGTCCCTTGGTAGGGGGGGAGGAGGTCCTCCCCTTTCAGGTCGACCCCCGTACCTCCCCAGCTGTGCGTTTGAATTCGACCTTCGAGGCGGACCCAGCCTTTGCGA